GATTGTGTTACTTTTACTCCTCTATCAGAGGTCAGTTGATGATACTACCTCAATTTTTACTTGATCGTGAGCTATGAGTTGGATTTGAGAAGCTATATTTATTCTGATTTTCCTCTCTATGATCATATTCTATACATTATGGAGTTAATTTTCCTAATTACTGTTTTCTTAAATTTTCTTGGTATTATAAGACATAACCTTGAACATTTATAATTGAGAAATGATCCTAGGTCACAGTTACAGTAGCTGTGAATTATAGAAGATGCAGTTTGAAGAGCAGGAATGCCTGTGTAAATATGAGAATAAAACATAATGATTCATAGGAGGCCATTTGACTAATGTGCCAGAAAATATTTGTACGCTCTCTCTCCTCCTCCCTCCATCTCTGGTTTCTGGACCTTGAGCTGCAACTGAAAAATATTTGGGTTATGCTGTTTTTTCCTTCTCAAACATAAACTGCCTTTTCAAATGTTTCTCTCTCCGGACAAGAGAGAAAAAAATCAAATCCTCATTATAGTGGTCATACATCTCCCCCTTTGTAAACCAAAGTTTTTAATCCCTATTTTTTAGGGCCACTGATCCTTCTATGATGGTCTTTCAGTAGCAACAGCTGTCATTTGTTATGGACTTGACCTTTGTTAATTAATCTTGATAGTAATCAGTTCTTTGTATTTAACCGAAAATAGGTTTGAAGAATTTGGGAAGCTTTTTATCATAAAGACCAGGAACAGCATGGCAGGATATGGAGAAATACGAATTCTCATAGATTCATGGTGCGAATGTAAATTGATTTAGCATCCATGGAAAATAGTTTGACGAACTCCCAACATATTAAAAATGAATCTAATGTGTGATTAAGCAATTCTGCTTTACTAGGTATTGATCTAAAGCATCAAAACACTAATCCAGAAAGACTTGTGCACTTCTGTATGCATTGCTGTGCTATTTACGGTAGCCACCCAAGATAGGGAAACCATCCACATTCCTCAAAGCAGACGATTTGGTACAAAACATATAGGATATAGACACAAGGACCAGGAGGATTGCTCCATAGCTGGAAGCCTGCCTCATGAGCGGAGAGAAGAAGGCAATTGGAATAGAGAAGGGATCACTAAGAATTGATGGCTGGAGGAATTGGTCGAGATGGAAGATATGTGCTGAAAGCAGATAATGGACCAAACATGATGACCTCTCATTGTCTGTATTGCAAACCATAATGCCCGAAAGTAGAGAGAGAGTATGGGGAATATTGTCTGCCATGGAGGCAGGGGGAGGGTGGGGAAGGGGGGGAGGTATAATGGAGATTATTGGTGGTAGGGAATGTGCACTGGTGGAGAGATGGGTGTTTGATCATTGTGTGATTGTAACTCGAACATGAAAGCTTATAACTATCTCACAGTGATTCAATAAAATTAAAAAACAAACAAACATGTAGTATAGAGCACAGTGGACTACTGCTCAGCTATGAGAAGAAATAAAATACTTTCTTTAGCAACACCATGAATGGTGCTGAAGAGATCATGCTAAGTTCATGGAGAGTGACAAAAATACTGAATGACTTTGTTCATATGTGGACTAGAGAGAAGCAAAGTGCAGGAACAGAACAAGATCTGCTGAAACAGATATGTGGGCTCAGGCTGTAGCACTGAGGATGGCCGAAGGAGAGAGAGGATTAATAAGGAAAGGCCAGAGGTGCAGGGATATAGGTTCTCTGATGGAACTGGCGTCATGTTAATATAGGCTTTGAAGATTCACAGTAGGGAATCCACAAAAACTTAAAAAATGGAGTTCTGTAATCTTATCTCAAAACACATGGAGAAAAAAATTAAGTAACTTGGCAAAGTCATGCATCTGGAGAGATGAGGTGGCCCGCAGGCCTCCGTTTGCCCGTTCCTCCAGTCCTCAGCAGCTATTCTGTTTGCTAGTGCTAAAACATAAAGGATCAAACATGGACACCTCTCCAGGGTCTGTATTGCAAACCATAATACCCAAAAGTAGAGAGAGATTATGGGGAATCATGTCTGCCATGGAGGCAGGGGAGGGTGGGAAAGGGGGGTATACCAGGGATTTGGTGGTGGAGAATGTGCACTGGTGGAGGGATGGGTGTTTGATCATTGTGTGATTGTAACCCAAATGACAGCTTGTAACTATCTCTCATGGTGATTCAATAAAATTTAAAAAAAGTCAAAAGTCAAAAAAACATACCGGGATGCCTTGGAATTTCTAAAACATCTACAGATTGTACAGACTGACTAATTGTTCTTTAAATAATTGGACACTTTGTTTTGGCCACAGTATTATTTTTTGCATGTGTGTAGTAGTAGGATTTAAATCTGACAAAAAAGCTCATTTATATATATGTGTATATACACACACGCGCGCACACACACACACACACACACACACACACACACACACATATATATCACTGTCACTGTCACTTTTCTCCCATTGTTCATCGATTTGCTCAAGCAGGGCCAGTAACACCAGTAACATTGTGAGATTTGTTACTGTGTTTGGCATATCGAATACACCACAAGGAGCTTGCCAGGCTTTGCTGTGCGGGTGAGTTACTCTCAGTAGCCTGCCAGGCTCTCCGAGAGGGGTGGAGGAACTGAACTCCTGTTGGCCGTGTCGGTGGCAGCACGCAAAGCAAACACCCTACCCACTATGCTATCACTCCAGCCCATATATATAGTAATAAATACTTTAGATTTTCCCTAGATTAGTTTAAAAAAACCTAAACAGGATTAACAGAAAGGACCTGACAGAGGACTAAACAGATGCAGATTCTGGTAAGGAGAAGATGCAAAATGGATCTAGGAACAATATAGCATCAGTTAAGACATCCAAGTAACAAAAATGACACTGACTTTCAGCGCTATGATCAGTATATTCACATGATAAGGTAGAATACAGTGGGTATATGGAGCTCCTATTTTTCCTTATTCCACGTACTATTAACTTCTTTCAGGAAATCTTCCATATACTGAGAAGATAATGAAATTTTCATCAGCTTTAAATACTCTGAAATTTCTAATCAGACCCTTTTGTGAATTCCAGTCTACTGATATAACACAATTGCAGTGTTTGATAATTGGATCTAAATCTATGATTGATATATTTGAATATGAAATCTGCAATTAGTAAAACAATTGCAGCAGACTAACTCTACAGTGATCTCAACATGATGGCCTGGATATAAAAAGGCCATGCTAATTTGTGTCTCTTTTGCTTTCTGGTACCTTTTGTAGCTTTGGTTACCCTCATGTAAATGGAGCCCCATCAAAGACTGTTTCAATTAAGCAGTAATAGAAATAAGAACTTCTCATTTTTTGGTCAATATCAACTGTTGTCTCTGTTTTCTATACTTTCTACTCTCTGGATGCCTTGAGACAACTAAATTTGAAGCATGTTTGAAAGTCCGGCCACTTGTAATATGTTTTCAAAATCCAAGTTTTGCATTCAGAATGTGGGGTTCTCTGATCTATTTCTCATTTACAGGATCTGGTTATCTTGTCACTTTTATTTGAGATTTTCATAGCCTTTTATCTTAGATTATGCAGAGAAAATATAGAATATTTCTCCTTCCACCAATATCATATCGTCAGATGAAAATTAAAAAAGGTAGCACCAAAAAAAAAAAAAGAGACCAATTTCACAGAAGCAGGGATGGAAGAAAGAAGTCTAATTGCTCCACTTTTGACACACATGTTTTTCATAGACAGCTGGTTTATCTCCATAATTATAATATCAAGCAATGCTCTTGGACTCCTGCAGGTTATCCTATTTGTTGGTTACCAACTTCCTGAGCTCTTCCTCTCTCAGCCCCTTCTTGGCCCCATTAACATCACTTTACATCACAAACCATACTACAGGTGGCAAGAGTAGGTTCAGAACAAGCATCAGTGAACCCTGGCAGGATTACATGTGTGAAATACTTGGTGAGGAGAGGTCCAGATTCTAGCTAGAATGAGACTTCTGTAGCTGAAAGAAAGTAGGACTGGGGGAACATTGGGGTGAGGGGGGAGGCTTAGGCTGCTGTGGCTTCAGTAATAGCACCTCACTTTTCCTTTGTTTCTCTGGAGTCTTCAGATCTTAGAAAAGAACATCATAACTCAGGCAGACATGTTAAAGAGATGGATATTGCGAAATGAAATTCCTACTCACTGCTAAGCTACGCTGAGCACCTCGACAGTCTGTTCCTTGAGGCCCTCGATGCAAACTTTCACTGTGTATTGTCCCTCTCTGGACTGGACACTGTTCTTCATTGTTGTCTGGAAGTGTGCTGAATGAGTTGGTCTGCCCCTCCAGATTATGCTATAACAAGCCACTATCAGTTACTTCAAAGAGTGTGAAGAAACTTAGGTTTCTCTCTCATGGGTTTTTCACAATAGCACACTTTGCTGTCTTGGTACAAAAGCTCTTTGAGTTAGATCTCACTGGAGCTGGATTGGCGGTTAGGTATCTGGTTCAAAAATTGTAAAAGAATATGGTTCATCAATTACCTGGCTTTCATTTATAAATAAAATTCTACAATGCCTTTTTTTTTTGCTTTTTTGGGGTCACACCCGGCGATGCACAGGGGTTACTCCTGGCTCTGCACTCAGGAATTACTCCTGGCGGTGCTTGGGGGGTGCTGGGAATTGAACCCTGGTCGCCTACCCGCTATGCTATCCCTCCAGCCCCTACAATGCCTTTTAATGTATTACTCATACAGTCTGTACTAACAGCAACACGTCCATTATTCTACTAGTAAGGCATGTCCTCTTTCTTAGGTTTCTAAACTCTTCTGTTTTTCCAAGGCATCTGTTGAATTAGAACCGGTCAGAGAAGGCTGACGGGATTTATGTTTAACTTGTCTTTCTTATTTCTGACCTGCTTTCCCTTGTTATCATGCCGAACTGCGCCCTCTCTCAGACGTTCACATTTCTGTGATTCTCCCGTCTTCTCATTGTTTAATCATCAGCAATATTCTCTTCTCCTTCTTCTCTCTTCAGCACTGCAGTGACAATTCACACCCCTGCCAGTCCGACATGAACATTGAAGGCGCCTGGAAAAGAGGCTACACTGGGAAGAATGTTGTGGTCACCATCCTGGACGACGGTATTGAACGAACTCACCCCGATCTGATGCAGAACTATGTGAGTACTTGCTGGGTTGGGATGGTCCCGGACCCTTGTTGGGATGAGCAAACGTGGGAAGTGCTACCGAAAAGTACAACTCACAGATCCAAAAAGTTCTGTGTTCCCTTGTACAATATGAGTCCTCAGGGTATGATCAGTATGAGATAACACTTAAAATTTCCAGACGCCTTTGATATTCTAGCCTGTGAGAGATAGGTGATGGATAAAGTAGCAGAAACCTCACAGCCAGCAACCACCTCACTTCCCAACAGTTTAGCCCAGCAAACCAGTAACAGCGTGACCCGGTAACACTTTTCAGGATCAAAAGTGTATCACTTGTATCACTTGTCATCCCGTGGCTCACTGATTTGCTCAAGCAAGCGCCAATAATGTCTCCATTTGTCCCTGTCGCGTGCTAGTGTAGCCCAGTGGTGTCTGCTTGCTCCAGGAACATGAAGAGCATCAAACCGTTCATTCAGGGTCTTGACAAAGAAGTCCGACCCTCTCGTAGGTTTTCTCGCCCACCTATGAGAAAAAGTGTACTTGAAACTTTTCTCCTTATTCTGCCTCCCTCTCCTTTCCTCCCTGCCCTGCGCTCCCCTCCCTGAGAAAGCAGGAGGAAATAAAATAAGTGAAAGGACTGGGACTCAGTTGCTTTCACTGGAAGCTGATATCCAGTGCCCACCTTGGCCTTTTCCTAAGCACTGGGCTTGGTTTCTGCTGCTAGAGCTTCATGGCTTCCTCGTTCACTGTGTTGCTTCTAGGGCACAGAAAATGCTTAGCTGCCTCTCCTTCCTCTGCTGTCCAAGAGGATCCTTCCCATCAGCTTCCCCCCCAACTTGGATTAAAGGTTGTCAGACATTCTTTTTTTTTCCTATTTATTTATTTTTTTATTACTGAAACACCACCCCCCATCACCCCTATCCCACCCTGCCTCTGTTGCAGGGCATTCCCTTTTGTTCTCTCTCTCTCCTTTTGGGTTCTCACAGCATATAATTTTAGATCTCAAAAGAGACCTAGTCTCTCTCTTCATTTGGTAGGATAGTAACTGAAAGCTAAGACCTAAGTGGGGGTTTGCATAGATTAATGTAAATAAAGGGCTGGAGCGATAGCACAGCGGTAGGGCGTTTGCCTTGCACGCAGCCAACATGGCCCACTTGAGTTCGATTCCTCTGCCCCTCTCGGAGAGCCCGACAAGCTACCGAGAGTATCTCGCCCTCATGGCAAAGCCTGGCAAGCTCCCCGTGACGTATTCAATATGCCAAACACAGTAACAACAAAGTCTCATGATGGAGACGTTACTGGGCCCGCTCGAGCAAATCGATGAACAACGGGAGGACAGTGAGTGACAGGGATTGAATGTAAATAAAATGACGGTGGTTCCTGTTTTCTGGCAGAGACATCTTACCATATGCAAAGATTATGTGTAGGTTCCTGTCCCCCACTACATAAAAGGTATTTGATTAGTTACAAATAGCTTTATCCTAACTGGGATTAGATTTTTTTTTCTCCTTTTTCATTTGTTCCCTTTTGAGCAAAAAAAAAAAAAAAAATATCTCCAGAATACTTCTGTGTAGTTACTAGAACTGGCATTCTGTGTGTTTAAAAATTCAAGAAAAATTTGTTGTGTATGGTGTCAGGTGATCTGGGTTTGAGTCTTAACTCTCCAAGACTTCTTACTTCATACCTTTGGCCAAATTATTTTACCTGTCACAGACCTTCTTTCTCTCATCAGTAAAGGTAGTAAGTCATATTGCTGCAGACCCCAACGTGTTTCCATCACCATCAGGTAGAGAGCCACCCTGGATATTGCCACCTTTAAATGTAATGTAGCTTTTGTTTAACTTACCCAAACATTTCACACGCCGTACTATACATTATTTCAGAAATGAAAGCCTTTGATAAGAGCAAAAAAAATGGCATTTACTTTCACTAGAAGTGAAATCAAGAGCCACCAAGTGATATGAATGCAAGCGATGAACAGTCTAGTACTTTTTAAAAAAAGTAATTTAGAGATGTTTTGCAATCCCATGACAAGGAAACGGATTAAGTCCAACTTTGATTTTAGCGATACTTTTGCCTCATTTGAAACTATGGCATGCAATAAAACTATTATTTTTGTTACTAATACTGTTGAGTATTAGCAAAATGTATGGATTTTAGACTTGTATAGTGAATAGAACACTTTAAGCTATACAAATATCGCCTACTAGAAATCCCAAAGTACTTGATTGAATAAATAGATAATATGCTGTTTTTCAGCTTACTTGCAGTTATTTGTGAATGTTTATTTTTTTGCCCTCGAAAATTTTTGAATTACAGTAAAACTTTGCATTCCTAATAAATGAAGTAAGGAATCGAGAGGGTCTATAGAATATAAGTCATTTTGCTTCTAGATAATACAAAAGTACTTTTTTCAAAAGTTGGTAATTGAGGATGTCTTTGAAAGAATTGGGTCAAGAGTCAGTTCCTGGTCTGAGGAAATAAGTTCTGGCCAGCAGAATTTTTCTTTGATCTGTGGAGAGTCTTCATCATAAGATAAGAAAATATGACACTGATTATTACTAAGTGATGCATCCTTTTGCCCCCATGAGTGTATTATTTAAACTGATTACTGTCCTGTAGAAATGTGTCTTAAGAATAAGTGTGCTTCAGAAAGATTGCATTCATCTGGGGAACATAAAGCAACAAAAAGGGAGACTAACACCCAGGAATGGCTGAGATTAGTACCAGGAATTTTGCTCCATGACTTGAAGGCCAGCCACACGTGCTAGGTGAAAAGGAAGCTCAGATAGAGAAGAGAGCACCAAATAAAGGGTGTTGTGAGAAGCATGCTAAAAGTAGTCTATAGACCAAACATGATTGTCACTCAATGCCTCTCTTGCAAAACACAGTACCCAAAAGAAGAGAGAGAACAAGGGGGAATGCCCTGCCACAGAGGCAGGGTGGGATGGGGGCGTGGGGTGGGGGTGGGAGGGATACTGGGACCTGTGGAGTGGAGAATGGGCACTGGTGGAGGGATGGGTACTCAATCATTGTATAACTGAAACCCAAGCACAAAAATTTATAAGTCTATAACTGTACCTCATGGTGTTTCACTAATAAAAAAATTTAAAAAAAATAAAAAAGAAAGATGAACCAAAAAAAAAAAAAGAATAAGTGTGCCTGGGGTTGGAGCCATAGTACAGTGGGTAGGGTGTTTGCCTTGCACGTGGCTGACCCGGGTACAATTCACAGCATCCCATATGGTCCCCCGTGCACTGCCAGGAGTAACCCCTGTCATAGCTTAGTGTGGCTCCCCTCCCCACCCAAATAAGAATAAGTGTGCCTTCAGGTTAATGGCTAATTACTGACTGTTCATCTCCTTTATTGCACTCTCTCCTATGTGCTTATAGGATGCTCTGGCAAGTTGTGACGTGAACGGAAATGACTTAGACCCAATGCCTCGTTATGATGCAAGCAACGAGAACAAGTAAGGCCCAAGAGAGGGGTAGCTGATGTGTGACTGGCCAGGGGATTTTTTTTTCTTCTATTCTTTCTCTGCAAAGTATTTTCTTAGAAATCTTTGGTCACAAATAATCCACAATTTGCTTCCAAAAAAAAAAATTTGCTTCAAAAAAAGTATTTTTTTGAAGCTTCATGGGATCATCAGTCTAGCAAGAATGGTTTCAGAGAGAATCCTAGGATGATGAATCAGCATTTTCACATCATCAGGGTGTTGATGGAAGATGTATATTACCCCTTATGCATCATTTGACCTTTGACCTATTGATTCAGGGATAATGAATGCCAAAAATGAGAGGCAAAAGAAAGTAACCCCTAATTGAGTTACTGTATTCTGTTAGATGTTACAAATTTGATTGAAGAGTTTGCTTAAGATCTCTTCCAAAGACTTCTTTTTCTTTCCTCCATCTCTACCCTGTAGTGTTTTGCATTAACGTACCTGAAATACTTAAAATGTTTGCCACATACGGAACATATTATCATTTCTATCTCCACAGTCAAGAGTCATGGAAATACATTTAACCATGTTCACATTTTCCAGTTAATATAGTCATTTTCATGAAAGCAAGTGAAAATGCACATATACTTTATAACAGAATAGCCTCACATTTTTGAGAAGATAAATGTTAAAAGGTTTGTCTCACTTACAGAGAATAGCCTGGATTCTTAAAAAAGTAGATTTTTCTAATCTCTAGATCATATTAACTTTTCCCTTTTTCCTTAATGGTCCTGCAGGATAATACTGTGACTATATACTTTGATTTGAATTTTTATTTATATGTTTTAGTTTGGGATCACAGAAGTATCAGACTTATTAAGTGCACTTTCCAATCTGTAATGTTCTTTAAAAAAACTCTCATCTAGTATAATTTAGTGTAGTTTGTCAATAAGTTTAGATAAAGCCCTTTTGACTTAGGTAATTGTGACTGTACCTAGGCTTTATGTTTTTTTTTCTTGCCATCTCTAAAAACAATGTCCGAAATATTTCTGTTGGTAAATGCTTTCTAAAAATATTAAGTGCCAACTAAATATTACAGAACAGGCTCAGTAATAGAAGTGTTAATATACAAATTGATGGAGATTCATATTTCCAGAACTTGCTAAACAAGAAGAGAAGTGGACTTGTTTTCTGCCGAATCTGATTACTGCCCTTTAGACCACTATGTTTGAAGTCAGAGTGAATTTCACAGAAAGGATTATGACTCGAGACATGTGAGCTAACACTTTTAATCTGATTTGCAAACTAGCATGAAACTTGGGGAAACTTAAACTTCAAAACTTCAAAAAGTCACCACCGATAAGTTATAATATATAGTCCATACTACTATAGTGTGACATGCAACCCTAATCATAACCACATTCTCCAGTCTGAAACCACAGAGCAGTAAGAAAACGACGCCGAAGGTTAATACTCGAAACTTTTTCAGTGGCTCACACAAGCATGACAGAAACCTATTAGAAGGAGCCCAGTTGTCTCCATGGTACATGGTTAAGAAATAGATAATAAAATATTCTTTTCATCTAAAAAAAAGAAAAAGGACCTGAGATTTGCCTAGGAAAAGTGTGTGTGTGTGTGTGTGTGTGTGTGTGTGTGTGTGTTTGAATTACATCTGTCCTACTCAAAGTTGGTCCTCTGTGTGCAAGAGAAAAAAAGAATGAGAAAAATTGATGAAAGAAGAGGAAAATTAAGGAAGAGGATCACAGAATGACCTTGCTCAGATGTTGGAAGTAAAGAAATATAGGAGTGAGAATTGGTCTTTAGCAGGAAGCTTGCAGGGTTGTCACAGGGACAGTGGCGCAGAGAAACAGGCACTCTGGCTGAGGGCTTGGAGCTGAATTGTGTTCTGCACAATATTCTAAGATGTGGTGTCCAAAAAAAAAATTTAAAATGTAAGAAATGATTTTGGCTTGATTTGGGGTCACACCTGGCAGTGCTCAGGGCTTACTTTTGGCTCTGCCTCAGGGATCTCTCCTGAAAGGGTTCCGGGACCACAGAGGGTACTAGGGAGTGAACCTGGGTTGGATGTGTACAAAGCAAATGCCCTTCAATCTGTACGATTGCTCTGGACCCAGATAGATTTTATCTAAAGAATGAGGAGCAGAGAATAGAGAGAAAAGTGACAAAATAGGCTTAGAGGAAAGAGGGGGTAAATTAAGCAGGTTGGATAGCCCCCCAGAGTGGCCTTCAGAGGCATAGCAGTTTGCAAGTGATTGGGAGCCAAATGGAGAGTTCCCTGATACCAGGCGGGCAGATACAACATCACAAGTATGTGGAGTTGTTCTCCAAGGTTTGTAGCTGTGGGATTTGTTTATTCCTTCATGACTTAGTTCTGCTTGATATACTTTCTACATTCACCTAAAATTTCTTTTTCTTCTTCCTTTTTTTTTAAAAATTGGTTTGGAGGGGCTGGAGAGATAGCACAGCGGGTAGGGCGTTTGCTTTGCACGCAGCTGACCTGGTTTCGATTCCCAGCATCCCATATGGTCCCCTGAGCCCCGCCAGGAGTAACTCCTGAGTGCAGAGCCAGGAGTAACCCCTGTGCATCGAGAGGTGTGACCCCCCCCCCCCCAAAAAGTAAATTGGTTTGGAGGTTATACTCAGCAGTTCTTAGGGATTACTCCTGGTTCTGCACTCAGGGATCAGTCCTGGTGGTGCTTGGTGAACCACAAGGGTTGCCAGGGATCAAACCCAAGTCAGTGCAAGCAAACACCCTACCGATTGCATGATAGTGGGTAGTGGATAGATAGTCCTGTCCTGTCACATACTGTTTCTGACGCGAAATTGTTCATTGAAAGAATGCAGATTTCACTCAACGCTCAAATTATTCTCTACCATATCAATGGGATATTCTCTACCATATTCTCTACCATATCAATCACACTCAGGTCCTGGGAGAGAACAAGACAGAGTCTCCTACCCTATGCCTGACTGTCTCCACCAGGGCCCAACAGCTGAAGATCATCGAGGCCCAGCCAAGGCCATGCTGGGAGCACTCTCCACACACTTGGATGAGCCTCACGCATAAAAGAACTGACAGAGGAACCCAGGTGTGTGGGACCCGGGGCTGAGATCTCCAAGCCTGCACAGTTTGGGACTGGACCTGCCAGTAACTAGACAGTTACACCCACCAACTGCCGTGTAACTCCAACAACGGCCAGGATCCAGAGATCATCACACTCAGGTCCTGGGAGAGAACAAGACAGAGTCTCCTACCCTATGCCTGACTGTCTCCACCAGTGCCCAACAGCTGAAGATCATCGAGGCCCAGCCAAGGCCATGCTGGGAGCACTCTCCACACACTTGGATGAGCCTCACGCATAAAAGAACTGACAGAGGAACCCAGGTGTGTGGGACCCGGGGCTGAGATCTCCAAGCCTGCACAGTTTGGGACTGGACCTGCCAGTAACTAGACAGTTACACCCACCAACTGCCGTGTAACTCCAACAACGGCCAGGATCCAGAGATCATCACACTCAGGTCCTGGGAGAGAACAAGACAGAGTCTCCTACCCTATGCCTGACTGTCTCCACCAGGGCCCAACAGCTGAAGATCATCGAGGCCCAGCCAAGGCCATGCTGGGAGCACTCTCCACACACTTGGGTGAGCCTCACGCATAAAAGAACTGACAGAGGAACCCAGGTGTGTGGGACCCGGGGCTGAGATCTCCAAGCCTGCACAGTTTGGGACTGGACCTGCCAGTAACTAGACAGTTACACCCACCAACTGCCGTGTAACTCCAACAACGGCCAGGATCCAGAGATCATCACACTCAGGTCCTGGGAGAGAACAAGACAGAGTCTCCTACCCTATGCCTGACTGTCTCCACCAGGGCCCAACAGCTGAAGATCATCGAGGCCCAGCCAAGGCCATGCTGGGAGCACTCTCCACACACTTGGATGAGCCTCACGCATAAAAGAACTGACAGAGGAACCCAGGTGTGTGGGACCCGGGGCTGAGATCTCCAAGCCTGCACAGTTTGGGACTGGACCTGCCAGTAACTAGACAGTTACACCCACCAACTGCCGTGTAACTCCAACAACGGCCAGGATCCAGAGATCATCACACTCAGGTCCTGGGAGAGAACAAGACAGAGTCTCCTACCCTATGCCTGACTGTCTCCACCAGGGCCCAACAGCTGAAGATCATCGAGGCCCAGCCAAGGCCATGCTGGGAGCACTCTCCACACACTTGGATGAGCCTCACGCATAAAAGAACTGACAGAGGAACCCAGGTGTGTGGGACCCGGGGCTGAGATCTCCAAGCCTGCACAGTTTGGGACTGGACCTGCCAGTAACTAGACAGTTACACCCACCAACTGCCGTGTAACTCCAACAACGGCCAGGATCCAGAGATCATCACACTCAGGTCCCGGAAGCGCGCGGCCGCATTTGCGGCCGCGCGACATCTTATCATCTCATTCCTAATTTGGTCAAACTGGCAGGCTACCAAATGTAACATGCCCACACGGCAGAGTCTGGCAAACTCCCCGTGGTATATCCAATATGCCAAATACCAGTAACAATGATGGGTCTCATTCTCCTAACCCTGAAAAAGCCTTGAATATGGCACTTTAAAAAAAAAAAATCTCAGGGCTAGGACGAAGAAGACGTTACTGGCACCTGCTCGAGGCAATCGACGAACAACAGGGTGGTCGTGATCGTGATCGTGATCGTGATATCAATGGGAAGAAATGTATGTTTTTGAGTATGCTAACAGACTGTCGACTTGAATATATCCATTGGTGAAACGTATCCTATCAACACCTGTACAGCATTGTACAAGTGAAACAGGAAAGCTACAGGAAAGTCTCGGCCAAGTCTACAGGAGCTATAGACAACTCCCGCATCTCCTCACGAGGTGGTTGACAGATAAGAGGGATTGCAGATGGAAGTGGAAAGCTGTCAGTCTCTGTCAGTTCTGTCAGAAACTCCATTTAGAGTTTTGACATGGAAACTCTCGGGATAGTG